CCACGTATTATCAAATATTATAGTATTTAATTTTAGAGTAATATACTAAATATTGTGTGCGCTTTGACGTGTACAATAATTAACAAGTGAAATAAGGTGTACTAGTATCTCGTGTGCTAATAAGTGTCGCCAAGGCGCCATTTGTTAAGACAAGTGTATTTTATTTTGCTCCGGCTTGACTAAACACAATTTTCTCTCCTCGCCACTGGTGACACCAGAGTCATCAGAGTCATCAGAGTGCTATTGCATTATGTATGCTAATTCATATAAATGTTACGGCTGTAAAATTGCCTTGCAGATATAAATTTTAGTTTCCAATTGTCACATGCACTTCCGCGTGTCCATTTGCTCGGCATCGGCGAGAAGGTCCCTATAACTCTTCGAAGATATGTTAAGTTCTTGGCCTGCATTCACTTAATACGTATAGGTCTCATATATACAAATTACTGCGCTCTCAATAATGAGAGAAATCAAGAGGATTTTACGCAAAAATAAAACTTATGTACTTATAAAATCGAGACTGTTGAAATGCCATTCCAACAGCTATAAAATATTTAGCGTAGGTATTATAAAACGCACTCGCGCTATTTAATTCATCATAAACTATGTTATGTAAAGATTTGGAATACCTATAATATGTAGTAGTAGCAGTAGAGCTTCTTGTGAAAGAATTTGTCGCCTATTTCTGCCGCCATGCAGTATTGTCAGCGTTACTGTGTTCTGGTTTTGAAGGGTAAGGGTGCTGGTGAATTACAGGCACATGGGACTTGTCAACTTATGTCTCAGGGATACGGGCGCAATGGCAGTGTCCCTCAGATCTTTGCAATTTGAAGCTCAGAGTGGCACTGCAACTGTTATGGACAGGCTGCCATGGTGTAGCTTGCCATCAGGCGCACACCTTATTCATTCTGTCACTTAATATTATAAAAATAAAAAACATGATCGTCCAACAGTTCGACTACCGCTACTTGGTAAAAGTTATGAACATGGGGCCCACTGGCGGTATAGTCGCCACACTCAATCGCTTCGTGGTCATCACAGATGTACTGCTCGACTTCAATAACGACGAGATCCATCTCCAACAGTTCTCCCTCACTGACATTGGGTACGTTTCAAGAATTTTTAATATATAATAGACACACGCTTGGCCACAATCTCAATCCACAATCTTTTACCTATCTAGACAGAACAGTGAGTAGGATATGCGCACTGGAAAAGTATTCTTCCCAATTACGAATGACACCTACGTGAGTTTGGGTGCTATTCATGGTTGTCTCTGTGTGTGTCCATGACACCTGCGATACAAGGTTTCTCTAGTGTTCAAAAAAGGAAAAGAAAAATGCGGTTGCTCTTTATGACAGTACACAGCAGTATCTACAATGCTGCTGTAAAGCTGCATTGGAAGTTGGTTGGTGACTGGGGTTGCCTACTGGGTTGTGGGGTTGAGTCTAGCTCTACATTTCTTTTACAGTATCATCATAAGTTACATACGACTGCTAATATTATGTAAACTTATCATTTCAGTCGTCTGCGCGTGCGTTTAACCGGCAACGTTCTAACCGACTGGTTGGTGAACCCGGTGATAACAGTATTCACTTCTATCTTCGACAATATCATAATTAAAGTTGTCGAAATCAACATTCGCAGATCTATTCAAGACGTTATCGACTTCATGAACACCAACCTCAAAGCAGTTATTAGATACCTTGAATCCTATAACTGAAATTAGGTACTTACATATTTATTGCCATAAGTGTCTACGGTATGTTATTGTTATAGGCAATCAACAATAAATTTGCTGTTTAGCCGTGTATTATTTGGTTTTATTTTTATTGTCGAATACAAAGAATTAGGTTTACTAACTACAATATAATTTTGCTCCGTTTGGTTATGTCATTATTAAGTTGCTACCCCACTTCTCACCAGCGCAAACCGGCGGACGGGAAAGCAGAGGACATTAAATTTATCAACGTGTATTTTATTATACTATTTCAATTGAAATAAGTTATAAATTTCAATGCTCTGAGACCGACCTAGGAGCATTTATGGCATTGAAGAGCACGCTATCGCTAGAGTATATCGGGAGGCGCCGGCATGCGGCGGGGGATCCTCCGGTATGCGCCGGCTTCCACCGGTATGCGCCTTATTCCTGTGGTGTGCCTGAATGTTCAATGTGACTATTCGAGTCCGTAGTCGCTGATGGAATGGAATCAAATCCGAGCGACCTCAGACACGTCGACGTATGCGGCGGCATTCTGTGGTTCACTGGCGGACGTTTGCGGTGTCGTAAGGACATGACTCGTCAGAATGGGCGGGCATAAAATCCTCTTCGATGTTCTCCCCCGCCGTCCGCGGGTTTGCGCAGGCCCTTACAACTGTCACTATCAAAGAGATATCTCGTAAATCATACAAATCAGGTGGCTTATTAAAGGCTTTTACAAGTAACACCGAGTATTATGACAAGTAATAATGACTATGGAAAAAATAACTTTGTAGGTTTGTTTAAAAATTCAAAAAAATTTAGAATCATTTTATGTCATAGCCAACCAACATTAATGAGTAAGCCCAAGACCATCAACACTTCATAATCATAACACTCCATACTTTCTGTCATTCGTGGCATAGTAGCTTAGAAAAAACTAAAGACATGTTATGTTGACATATATAAATCAGACGTTATATGTATATGATGCATTTCGACGTTGAAAACATGAACATGTTATTGTCTTTGTTTAACTATAGCGTGCCGTTAAAAGAGATCTGATCTGTGTCAAACATGGGAATCGAAAATACGTAACGTCATCTTAAATGCCAACCGTGTCCATTTCGCAGTACATGAGGTACATGATGCGGTTGTCAGAGGGAAGTATATCAAATGTCAAAACAAATATTTTTCCAAGTGTTTTATTGAATTATTCTTTTACTGAATTATTATTATTATTATTCGCATGTATTGTAATGAAATGGACAAAACATTGACAGTAAGAACAATTAAGTATTAATAAAAATTCGTCGCTGCAGCATTACGGGATGTGGCATTTGAAAAAGCGAAGATTGACCGAATGTAACATTGTACAGGCAAGTGTTATTTTTCTGTCTATAAATCACACAACAGCTCAAATATCTCATGTAATTATTTAAATAGTTTATTCATAAATCTTGCCAAATTTTGCTTTGGTTTCTTCAGATTGCCTGTTTGTTTGTATATTTTGATGATTGTTGTTAACGATTATTTTGAGATAGTATTGTTCTTGGAAGCGTACATATTATCGATATTCTGTTATTAAAATAATTCACTACGACGTTTTTATTATTTTATTATTATTATTGTTTTTACTATTTCAAGTTTACCTACAAATAAAAAAAGAATGGTTAGAAATCGTACCGCCGTATAATAGTGCCGAATATAAACATTGAATCAAAGACCATTTTCATTTATTCGCTTCATTTTGAAGAGTCAAATTTTAATATAACTTTGAATGTAACTAGATTACATGAAAATGCAATTCCATCATTAGGTTTATTGGTAAATATTTTTACATTTAATTTAGATTAAACAAGACTCATTTACTAGGCATTCTCAGTTCCTAAAAACAAAATTATCCACTCGTTTCCGATTTTTTCCTACTGACAACTACTAAAAAGTCTTATTTTATAAAACAATACAAAGACCATGTTGGTCTAACGTTGCCGGGTGAAGGCCAATACCAACGTATAGACCGCCTATTTGCCTTGCCTTGCCTTGCCATCGTTCGGTGTCACTCACCTAGCTGACCGAGTGAAGGCGAGCGCTAACGTGTTCTTTTGACGTGGCTCGTGACTACTTGTCTCACTTTGGAGAACTGTTGATTTTTCTTCTCTACAAATCAAAGGCGCTCGGCCAATAGTAGTCAATTGACATTGTATAATCAGACATTTGAATGCTATTTAATATATACTATAACCTCAAGAGAGGTTGGAAATGTACAAGAGTTATATTTAAATTTTTATTAAAGTTTTCTGTTTTTTATATACTCTCAAATTACATTTTTTCTGTGCAAATTCACTTTTCGTAATATTTGAGTATTTGTAAACGCAAAACAATATATTTAAAATTTCATGTGACATTCCCAGATATTCCTATATAACCATTGACTTACAATTATATCTACGTCGGGTCCGCGCTAAAAAGTGTCCGAACTTATACGGCGTTAAAATCGTATACAGAGCGTCATTCACGCTCTAGTCTTCGTTTGTTTCTTCTGACAGCGAAGCAAGCAAAATTAGACAGTACTGTGATGACATTACAATTTAAATTCAACGTTTTAGCTATTCATATTCCTTTACATGTCACTACGTTTAAATAGGTTGACTTGGGACATTTTTTTCGTAGTTTTTGTATTAGACCCGTCGTCAATTTATTTGTAAGTCAATGTATATAACCTAAAATATTCCCAAATGGAATATTGGTCTACTTTAGTTAAATGCTTGCATGTCGATAATGACTTATCGATAGATTATGGTACGACACTAATGAATCCGAAATCCGCCATTAATTGTTCGTTCAATTTTTGTTTAGGTGTGCACGTTCATTCCGTAGTTATGGCACCTCCTTTCTTTTATTTTTTCCATCCTCTTAAGCATAGTACGCAGAAATCTGACTATCGGTCGTGACTGCTTAGTTTTCAATTTAACCGTCCTTTATCACTCTCTTAAATTTTCCGCACATATTCATATTTTCCGTCCGTATGTAGGTATGTATATAATATAGCGATTGCCATCGAGCTTGGCATAGTATGGCGACACGGGATCTAAACAAAACAAACATGCGCTATTTAGATCCGAAAAAGAAATACATTTCCAAAGTAAAAATCGCGAAAGCCTAAGAATTCGATCAATGAAATAATTAAATTTTTTCAGATACATTTTAAAATCAAACTGAACGTGTTTATAAGGATTTCTAAACGTAATTACATATGTCATGTATGTCAAAGTCACACCCCAGGTTTTAAAAAAAACACGTGTTTGGCACAATCCACTGTAATCCACAAGGTGTTTGGTTTCGCCTTTAATGGGTTTCGCACAGTAAACTTTACTTACACCCTACACCCAAATACAGTCATATTTATTTTACTCTTTGCTTTACACAGTAAAGCTTCTTTTTAATTAAAGTAAGCATGGGTAAATCTAAGAAATTAAAGCCCTCGCAGGTTGGAAAAAACATAGCACTTGCTGACCAAATAGAATCTGTGAGTGCCGTGAAAAATAAGAATAGAGTCAAAGAAAGAAACAGACGAGACGACGATGAAGAGGTGTGTATTAAGCGTTTCTATACGGTATTCGTAAATGTCAAACTAATTAAATATAGTTAAAATTTCAACATAAGAATCGTACAATAAATAAATAAATACACCTACTGGGTTACTTGTATTGAGTTTTTACAAAACTTTATATTACCAAAAATACTTTTAGTTATAATGTCTAACACTGTTTATATCTGTATTTTGTATTAAATTCAAATAAATCACAGAGTTATGACCGTTTAGTAAAATGTGATGAATTCATTGACCTACTAACAAATGGACATCGGGTCTAATACAAAAACTACGAAAAAATGTCCGAACTTAACCTATATAAACGTAGTGTAATGAAATATAAAAAACTAAAACATTTTATTTAAATTTTAACATCATTGCAATACTGCCTAATTTTGCTTGCAACAATTTAAGGGCCCAAAAAACCATATTTAGCTTCTCCTGGAAACTTAACAAAATGCACCATATTTAGCTTCGACTGAAAATTACTTGAACACAAGAGTAATGGAGTAGCCTTTCTCCTAAATATTAATTAATTTTTATATATATTATTATGTTGAATTTTGTACAAATTCACTTAAAGATTTGGGCAGATACATACATACAAATATTACTACAAATGTGAAAATAAGCATGTATTATAAGAAATGTACTGATATTCCAACTAAATATAAATTCAAATATCCGTAATTCCGAAAATCGAATTTATAATAAAACCGTTACGCTTTCAAGTAATTTTGATGATTTTCACAAAGACAAAATAAGCTTTTGTTTCGTAATCTTCCTAAAAAAATACATTTGACATTATGAAAATTCAAGCTAACATTATCTTGGGCAAATGTATTTTCTGACTTCTGACAGGTAATCCCAAGCTGTAAAAGAACGATATTTTGTTAGTTATTGCTAATATTTAAAAAAAAAAAAAAAATTTAAAAATAAGATTAAAATCAAAGCGACTCTATAGTTTCTTTGTTCTAAATATTTCAGTTGTTTGTGGTTCGATTTGAAAATGACGCAATTAGGGCATCAAAACCCAGACCAATTTTGAAAACCCAGGTTTTCAGGTCATAGTATAGTCAAAACCCAGGTAGACCAGGGTTTTTTGAGCTTTTCAATTATTTTGTTATATCAAAAAAAATGAAATTGTGTTCCTATACTGATTTTGTACAAAATCAGTATAGGAACACAGTTTCAAAGTGTTTTAATCACAGACTTCCAGAGATCAGTTTTAACATTAATTATATCATTTTGGTATCAATCAGTTATTGCAGTTAAAAGCTAATAATATCTTCAAAAAACATATTTTTAGTATCACAAATTATCTTAACATTAATAAAACTCTTTTCTTTATGTGAATAATTACTTCGCAACAAAACAAAATGGCGTGAGAGAGTGTTACCTTTTTACGCATTGCTTGTTTTTAACATAAAATTTACATGTTAGTGACTTTATGCATATAACAATTGTTAATAATTGTGATCTAATCATGATAATGCATGGGGTAAATTTCTTTGGTGGGCTATGCATTCAAGTGCAAAACACAAACGGTTACCATGCCGGACTGCCACGCAGAGATCCCAGGTTCGGATCCCGGGCCGGGAGAAATATTTTTATGGCCTACATTTATTTCTCTCGTGATTTTGGGTGTAATTTGTGGTTGTCTATGTATGTGTCCATGGCACCCGCGACACAGGGTTTCCCTAGTGCGGGCTATGTTGAGTGTGTGCGTTATGTATGTATGTATGTTATAAGATGACTTTGTGTAATATAATAATTTATTTGTTTCAGTTTGTCAATCCAGAGTTATCTAAGAAGATTCTAAAAGCTGCCCGGAGACAGCAAGCCGAGCTGGGGGAAGCTGGTGAATCATCAGCTGCTTCACAAGTTCTGCTTTCAACGTCATTAAAAGGTACATTTTTCATAGTTAACTACTGGTAGAGTCCTAGGGACCCACAGCACTTCTACTAGGCATTTAGATGTTTGGGAAATTAATTGTAGCAAAAAGTATTAGTAATTAATGAGAATTTTTTCTTGACTTAGACGACAGATGCATGTCAGGTTAAATCATATTTAATCGTTTCTCTGCAGTGTTTTAAAAATTGTTTCTAAGATAAAACATAAGAGCGGATTTAATTTACTAATGAACTTTGGTTCATTTGTTGGAAATTCCCAAAATAAAATTTTCACCAAATCATAAAAACTTGAATCATTTTACAAATTTGTGTTCTGGATGACATTTGTTTATAAGTTAAATATGCATTTTTGCAGAGGCACACTCCGATAATGAGTCCGGATCAGAACAAGACGACTTGGAACCGGACACTTACTATGACAATATTGAAATCAATGAGGAAGATGAGGAGGCCCTTAAAATGTTTATGGCCTCAAGGCCAGAGAAAACACGGACCTTAGCTGACATCATTAGGGACAAAATAACAGAAAAGAACACTGAGTTACAGACACAATTTTCAGATGTTGAAACATTAAAATTACAGAATCTAGATCCTAGGTAAGCTTTTCAGAATCTTATGCACTGTATACTGACCAATTTCTTTAATAATATTTATGTAGTACTATTTTTAAGTCATTAAAAGGAAAACAATAAATTTTTAGGATAAAAACTATGTATGAAGGTGTCCGAGATGTACTTCAGAAGTACCGATCAGGCAAGCTACCAAAAGCATTCAAAATGATACCACACCTTGTGAATTGGGAGCAAATATTGTATATTACAGAACCTACAACTTGGTCTGCTGCAGCTATGTATCAGGTAAAACATTAGTTTCAACTTTTACATGAACATTAAGCACAATATACAGGCTGTATATTTGAAAGTGAGACATACTATACTTATAGAGTGTGGTATATTCCTGATTCTGAACAAAAAAAAAACACTAATAAGTTAAACTTTACAAAAAAATATACTTTTTTTATTTTTTTTTATCGACTACTACTTGTGAACAACCTTACTTATCGAAATCTATGCACACCACTATTATTGCTCCGACCGACGGACGCAGCGGCGAGAGGCGCGTCAGCACGGTGGCGAAAAACAAAGCACAGGTCGGCACTGTTTGCAGAGACAGTGCACGCGGAACCTTGGCCTAGCGAAGACACGTAAATTATTTGTACTTCCGCTCGCCCGAACACTGCGCCGGCGGCGAACGCGCCTCTCGCCTGCAAATTGGATATTTTGCAGGCGATATTGATATATTCTAACGTCGAATTGATTGAGATGGTGCGACTTTTTTGCGTCGAAGTTGTTGCATGAGAGGATTATCTCAGCATTTTATACTGTGAGACAAAATGTGTTTGTGTTGATCAATTTAAAAACAAAATTTACTACGAAGCTAGATTATGCATTGTGGAAAACAGTGGACATTTTGAACACCTGGTCCGTACCACGTAAGTGTAAATAAACTGTAAATAACTAAAAAATCAATCATTGTACATAATTTGGTTTCACATTTGTAACTACCTACGCCAAAAACCTCAGTTCTTATTAAATGATAACTTGATTTTTTTTTTGTACGTAAAACATTTCGATGATAGGTCATAAGTAAAAAATAATTAACATAAGCTAAAACGTAATCATTTCGATAACAGCTTTTTCATTATAACATAAATGAGTAGGTGAGAGAGAGATTTGAAATCATTGTTATTGTCTCACTCGGCGCTCGCATGGTAGTATTCCCAATGCACTCGAAATCAAGAGTAAAGGGAATGGGTTTATTCCTACATACACTCCAAAACAAATTTGTTGATTTATTTTTTGTTCTATCCCATATCCTAATTTTATTTTAGTCTATGTTAAGTTGTAACGTGATTTACTAAGGGTCGTATTCCAGGACTCTACTCAATGCTTAAGTCAGGATTTGAACAGACTTGAGTATGATTTCAAGCACTAGAAATACGACCCTATGACATGCATGAATATGTCTCACTTTCAATTATACAGCCTGTATAATAAATTAATGACTAAAATAATTAAAATAGATAGATAAGTAACCTAATTAGGATTATCTTTTAAATTCGCTCATGACGGATACATAATTCTAATATTTTATTTTGTAACAATTACAAAATTTGGCAATTAGATATTTAAAAAGAATAAGAAATGTATCAAGAAAAGTTTAAAAAAATAAGGCATTCCAATGTACAGATGGCTGCACATCAAGTTACACACTGATGGATCTTGTTTAGTTGCATTGGAAGCAGTATTCAAACAAAAGTGAATACTGCCTGATTTGACTTGACTTGTTAATTTAATGATAAACTTCTCTGGAACTGAAAGCTTGCTAATGCTACACTCTAACATATCTTGAATTGTATAAAAGATTTACCTTTTTATTCCAGGCAACCAGAATATTTGCATCGAATCTAAAAGAGAAGATGGCCCAACGATTTTATAATTTAGTCCTGTTGCCTCGTGTCAGGGATGATCTAGCCGAGTACAAGAGATTGAACTTCCATTTGTATCAAGCATTGCGGAAAGCCCTTTTTAAGCCTGGTGCTTTTATGAAGGGTATTCTTTTACCTTTGTTGGAAGTAAGTACACCTAACATACATATTAAAACATTTACATAAACATTTTATTTACATATAAACATAGTTATAGCCATTTTGTACTTTTATAGGCTGGAGACTGTACACTGCGAGAAGCTATTATCGTAGGTTCTGTATTAGCCCGCAACTCTGTCCCAGTTCTTCACTCAGGTGCAGCTTTGTTGAAGATAGCTGAAATGGATTATACTGGAGCTAATTCAATATTTCTGAGAATTCTGTTTGATAAGAAATATGCTCTACCTTACAGGGTAGTGGATGCCTGCGTTTTTCATTTTTTGAGGTACCTACATTTATTTTGAATATTGTTTTGTTTTTAAATCATCTCAGTACAGAGTACTAAAAAACTGACCTCAAAAGTCGTGGATGGAAAATTACGTCTAAATAGATTGGCAAATGCCAAGTTTTATCGGAATTGGTTACGGGAAAGTGCGCAAAACAGGATTCGTCCCCTAGTTTGCCAGGTAAAAATTTTGTTTAAATTTAAATGGGGCCACTTCTGAGGTAGTCTCTTTCCAACAAATAAAGGATCAAAATCGGTACTCAAATGCCAGAGTTATTGTGTAACATACATATAAAAACAGCTGAATTGAAAACCTCCTTTTTTTGAGGTCGGTTAGAAAAGTTTATACTACATAGGAAGAAAGACCAAACATCTTGAAATTAATTCAAAAGGCTAGTACCTAAATATTTAAGCTAAATTGAAGAGTGTTTCAGGTTCCAAATGGAATCACGCATGTTACCTGTCCTGTGGCATCAGGCACTGCTTACATTTGTACAGAGATATAAAGCTGACATTTCTACAGAACAGAGAGATGCTTTGCTAGAATTACTGAGAAAACAATCACACCCTACTATTACACATGAGGTTTGTATTTGACCTTTAACTAGGTGTACATTGTAGACATCAAATTATATAACTTGCTCAGGAAGATTCACATCACTTCTTTTTCTGATTGGTTCGTAGTTTTGTACAATGATCCCTACTTTTGTACTATCTGAAGGATTCTTTGTTTATGGGTAACACACCATACATTGGTTTAATCCACAAAATATTAAAAAAAAAAAAAATTTTTTACATCACTTGTAATTTTTTTACAGATCCGAAGAGAGCTTCAATCTGCAAAATGCAGAGACATTGAAGTGAATGCGTCCATAGCCTCTGCAGCTATGGTTGTAGAATAAGTATATAATAATAATATAAATATAAAATTATATTTGTTATTTTATTTACAAATGGAAAGACCAACATTTCTTCAGTCATGTCATTTGACTATACCCATGATATTTTTAAGCTTATTTGTAATTAGGAATAGAGTACTTAAATAAACGTAAATTGCTCAGAAGTCTGCCATCAAAATATGCTGGTTGCAGGAAGGCAGTATTTCACAACTTATCTTTTTATGTGGTTATTCTTATTATGGAGAAACAAAACTTAATGAAACTACGCCATTTATTAATAACTTACTTCTTTTTTGAGGTTTACTCAACATAAAATATATTAATTTTAATTGTCTTGTGTAAACTACAATAAAACACATTCAGAGACGAGGCTCAACTGTACATTACCATCACACGAGTTGAGAGTTGAAATTAATATGGTGAATAGACTACATAGTTAGTAGTCTAATCCTAAAATATTAGCTTTAGGAAAGTCGTTGTTTTGATAATAAAAATTATTGAAATATTCGAAAATAAATGATAGGAAACAGGTTTTGTAGGTTAAGAAAGCACGGCGTTTGGTTGTTGCAGTAAAGTTTTATAAATAACGCAAAAAAATAAACATTTTCGTAAAAGACAAATAACGAAACGTCACGCACGCGCGCGCGGCGTTTCGTTTTATCCTCTCTTTGGTGCAAAAACATAATTTTTTTTGGTTAGTTTTTTCCAATTTTCAAAAATTAATATCTCGAAAACTATTAACGTCCTAAATTTGAAACTTTGAGTGTCCCCTCCCCTAAACTGTAGTTTAATGTACAGTCCTTCCGTTTGGATGTTTGTTACTCAATAACGCCAAAAGTAATGTACTGATTTGGATGAAATTTGGCACACAGATAAGATTATTACCTGATTTTACATATAGGATATTTTTATCCCCATTTCAAGCTCCCGAGGGATAGAATAGTGTATGCGATATAATAAAATTTCACGCGGGCGAAGTCGCGGATGGAAGCTTGTAATATAATAATAATTTTAAATGTACATTTTTGTATTAGGTACTAACTTAGGATAAGAAACATGTTACTAACAGCCCTATGGATGTGTTAAAATGAATAATATATCTAAAGTACACTAATTAGTCTAAAACATATTCTTAATGAAACTAATTAAATTAACACAAAGAAAAAGAAATTATGCAAACAAAATGTAAATGTACAAAGCCCAACAGTAAAACTTAAAAAGCAATGTAAGTTACAGAATTTAAAAAAGCCCATACTTTTACTGTTGGGCTTTTTTTAATTCTACATCATACATTGCTTTCTTATGTTCGTATTCTAATAATAAAATTTTATATTTTAAATCAAAAATCTTTTTGTCATTTGCAATTTCTTGCTCCAAGCGGAACATTTCTTTTTGAAATTTAATTTTCCTTTGTTCATTGTGTTCTTCTCTTAATTTAGCTTTTAAAGCATCAATAGAAGAAGACTTTGACAGGTAAGTGGTGTATTTTTTGCAGAAGTCTTTAATGCTGGAGTGCTCTTTGTTGGTGCAGAGCTTGTAGTAGCAGTACCAGTACTGGTTGTGACGATAATATTAATGTCTGTTGCACTTATGATAGTTGTGGTGACTGCTACTTTGTCATAGCAGTGATCTTCTGGCATTGAAGATACTTTTGCCTCATTGATATCTTCTGGGAAGTAATCTTCAATGAAGTCTAGGGAAGTCCTTCTCCATTCTTTTGGTTTTCAGGCGAAAGAGTCATCATCTCCAGCAACACTTTCACCTGGACCTATAACAATAATATTTCTGGATTTAACAAAGGTCCAGCAATTTTTGTAAGTTGTTCCTAAAAAAATTTTTCTATTAATATGTACCATCACTGTCTTTTTCGATATTTATGCTAGGCATGAGATGAGGCACCATAGATAAAACAGATTCATGGTCTGGATCCATGTCAGGTACATATGGCCCTCCACCTGTGAGACCTCTGTTTTTCTAGACTTTTAGCATCTCTTGCTCTAGCTTTCATGTTAAGCCATAGTTTTTTAAGCTGCTGACGTGTAAGAGATTTTAATAAAAAAAATTTAAGTGACTTTTTATTTGACATAAAATATGCTTTAGATATTTCTATTAACTGAAAAAGGAAAAAAAAGTGGAACAATAAAAAACAGTTTAATAGGTATTAAAAACATTCATGCTTACGTGTTGAACTTGAGGAGAAGAATTAAAGGTGACTGCAACTTTACCCCAAAGTTCAGCTTTCTTCTTTTTGAAGTCTGCATCTGTTCGTTTTCATTCCAGTAAGTTTATGTGTGGAATCTAAAATTTCCCTTAAATGTTCTTTCTCAAAAGAAGTGAAGGCAGCTTTCCGAGAACTCATTTTTCAAGTAATTAAGTAGCGATGTGAAAGTAATAAATACCCTTCGAGAGGAAACCCAAATAACTGCGCGCTTTTGATGTCCCAATGCATTTTTTTTGTATTGATGTGTATCGGCAGTTTTATTTTTTATCTCAACTCTCACACTTAATTTTGCAATATAGCTATCCTTGTCTACAAAATTAACAAGGGTGCGCATTGTATGAAAAACCGAAGATTGGCTTTAAAAAAAGTTTATATACTTTGACGTCATATCCTTTTGCTAAGCATCGACTCGGCTGAACCAAGCGAAGTTTGAGACGACCGCGCGTCTCTGCATTCCAAAAGTCGCGACGATGCTTAGCATGTACTCGGCTAAGACCGATCTTAGCACAACTCATAGGAACGTCTCTAAATTTCAGCCTTATATATTTGATTAAGGTTTACATTACAATAGGTTTATCAACCTGACTCGTAACAAAATGTATACACGGTAACTCCGATTTACGACACTCACACTTTCGTCCAGAAGTGTAATCAAAGGAACCAACTTTGTTCCCGCACTTTTCACAATGAAGTTTTCCCTTAGTCCACGATTCATCAGCAATTTTCTTCAATATCCATTCAGGTACTCTCTCATCGAGAAGATAAATGAAATTATTAATATTGTAACTCGAACAGCACTGTGCTTTATCTTTTGCTACGTTCACGTAAATATTACTGATATCTTCGAATAAAATGTGTCGACACTTGTGGCACTTGATTGCACCTTTGGCTTGAGATTCCATTTCATCAAGGCAAATTGTTTTTTTCTGTTCCTAAAATTCCTAAAAACAAAAAACAACTACGGCTATTGAGAAAGATTGAAATCAAAATCACATGGTAGTATGGTAGTGGTAGGAAACACAAACTAATAAGAGATACTACGTATTGGGTAGGAAAACAGCAATATTGTCAATGTCATGTTTGATATTGACCTTTTTTTTTTTACTAGTTAATAGATTTGGCTTGGATACAAGTCCTTTGAGCCATGTCTTCGTTTAATTATCTTACAACTAACTTTATCTCTGTCTGTGTGAGTTGTTGGGTCTGATATGAGTATTACTGTTGAGTACCGTTTTGTATATGTAATTAAAGCTAGCTGGCTATACATGAAATGGTAAGGGAAAGCTGTAACCTATCTCAAACAACCCTACGTTCCTACCTAACAGCCTAGCCCTAACTATACACTACTATATAGGGCGCACTATAAGTTTCTGGAACTGGCCACTTACATAAACAATATTTAAAAAGTAATTACAACATTTGTAAATGGATCTTTTTGGCTGTAGAATACAGTTTGTTTCATCTGACTGTCACTTGTTTTTACATTGTGGCGTCATTTTGGAAATTGGTTGTCAACATCACCTTGGATTTAATAATAAATTTTCGTAGTATGATTTTCTACGACTTTAAGTGTAATCGAACAGCTCAGTGGAGTTTCGCTCGGCTTCAGACTGCTTTTGGCGATGAAGCACCATGCAAGACGACTATTTGTAGCTGGTTTGCAAAATTCAAACGCGGTCGTGTGAATGACGAATTTCGTGATGGTCGCCCGTCCATTGATGTGAACAACAAAAACATCGATGCTGTGCGCCGTATGATCAAAACAGACAGGCATATGACATACCATGAGATTCGGGCATTTTTAGGCATAGGCATGAGTTAAATACAATCAATACTACACAAACATTTGGGTGTGAAAAAGCTGTGCTCTCGGTGGATCACACACAATTTGACTGAGGCTCAAAAAACGGATCGTGTCACTTGGTGCAATGCCATGCTTACCAGATTCAACGAAAGGGCGTCAAATTTGGTATAGTTACGATCCCAAAACAAAGCAGCAATCGAGCGTATGGGTCTTTCGAGATGGGCCGAAACTAACCAAAGTGGCGTGCGTGCAAAGTGCCTCTAAGCGGATGATTGCTTCTTTTTTTAATAAAACTGGACACGTGGCTATTGTTGCTTTGGAGAATCGTTGTACCGTGAATAGTGATTGGTATATGACTATTTGTTTGCCGGAAGTTATTGACAAAATCCGTAAAAATAACCGTAAACGCCGTATCATCTTGCACCACGATAATGCCAGTTCTCACAAAGCTAGACAGACAAATGAATTTTTGAAGGTGAACAACGTTGACCTTATGAGCCATCCTGCGTACAGTCCCGACCTGGCACCTTGTGACATTTATTTATTTCCATTCATTTCGGAAACTTATATTGCGCTCCACGTATATATAGATAGGCACAGGAAGTCTGTTACCGTACGACTTAAGGTAACAGACGGAAGGTGGGAAGGATAAGGGGTGCAAGGAGTGGATTTTCTCACTGCCAGTCTCACAGACTCACAAGACTGATCAGATAAGCTGACGGCTAAAGGGGTCTTGGCTGCAGTGAGAGGATGCTGTAGTAGGTAAGAGAGCTCCGTCAGTCGTCGTCAATGAGACCGCGTTTTAGTCTGGATTCAAAGAGATCTTTATTTTATACAATATAATTTTTAAATGTAAAAACAAAGGAAACGTCTACTCAGCAGGCTGGTCTTGCACATTGCTATTGGTTAGTGCACTGCTGAGTAGTCTATTATCGTCACGTGGTAAATCTGTTCAAGTCACGTGAACGTGAACAGGGATCCTCACACATTATGTTTTCTCTTTTTCATAAATAACTTAGTCCACTTATTTGGGTTTTTTAAATAATCTTTTAAGCGGTGGGAGCATTGACTTACAAATAAATGGACGACGGGTCTAATACAAAAACCACGAAAAAAATGTCCCAAGTCAACATATTCGAAATTTAAATTGTAATGTCATCGCAGTATCGCGCTGTCAGTAGAACAAATGAAGACTAAAGCGGAGTTTGGCGCTCTGTATACGATTTTAGCGCCTTACAAGTGCGGACACTTTTTAGCGCGGACCCGACGTCCATATAATTGTAAGTTAATGGGTGGGAGTAAATATTTATGTTTTCACTGTCACTTATATCACATTATTATCGCTTTGAACAAAAACTTTGAATTCGTAATTAGTGGAATTTTCAGGATAAAGTCTTTTGTAAGGTATAAAAAAAAGAATATAGTTTTAACTTTCATCGTTTTTTTTTTCATAATATACTTAAAATAAAAATAGTTTTTGTAAAAACTGTACGTGGTAGCTTCAAAAACCCATCATTTCCTACATTGACCTTGAGTCGAAAAATTACGATTTTTTTGGCTTGGTTACAAGTCTTTTGAGCCAGATCTTTATTTAATTATCGGGATCCTCATTATTTTGTATCGTGAGAAAATTACGAAATTTGTTACCTGAAAAGTAGTGAAGTAACATTTTCGTCTTTTTAACAAACAAAAAGTATTTGTATACGCCTGAATCTGAAAAAAAAGACAAAAAAGTTGATATATGCACTCAAGAAAAGTAATGAAAAGTAGAATAACTAACAATCAATTGGTTGATTTAATTTTGTTTGCATCATCTCTGAGTAAACTTTATTATCTAATTTAGGTGCATTCGTGAACCATTTAGGACTTACAAAAACAAATATAGTTGAATTTTATAAATCTCATTGTCTTAAAACTAAAAGTTACTCTCATGGTATGCGAGAGGGGCAAAAGTTAACGAAAAATGTAACTATATTGCAATTCTGTGAACTAGTTTTTTAAATTGTACAATATGGTTCAATTTATTTTCATTCAATTTATATTGCGGCAGAACGGAATGGAAGCAAATTTTTGTAACGTTATTGAGCATAGCATATTGAACTTCACGGTCAATTGTGTAAAGTACAAACTAGATACGAGCTAGTCTTCCGCGAAATGCGCGAAAATTCTCAAGAAATCGCTATAAAGTTTATTACTTTTATTATTAGTTTACAATATCGTTACAAAAATTCGCTATCATTCCATTCCGCCGCAATACAATTGAGCCTAAGTCATATAAGCAGGTTGATTTTAATTCAAATCAGTATCGATCCGATCGGGTAGCTCAACCGAGTCTCGAAATCAGATGGGCTTCCGAGCGAGAAGATAAACCTGATTCCTACTATATTTTTTCTAATTCGTAAGTTAAATCAACTATTGTTCCGATTTGAAATGTCGACAGTTTCCGATCGGCCAGTTGTGAGTCGCAATTATGTGTCTCGACTCGGAAGAGACGCAGTTTCAGATCGAGAGAGGCAATCAAAATCAAGCTGCAGGAGTCCGTCTTCAGCGGTAGCTGTAGCTGTTTGTTTTGGTTGCGTTCAAATTACCACATTTGCGATTATCGGGTCACTAAAATATGCACTGGGACACAAACAGATATACCTATATGTATTTCAGGCTATTAACATAAAACCAGGCTTGTTTACTTTCAAAAGCTACTACCCATATGTACGGTTAATAGGACGGTAGTTAAGACTTAAGTAATTACTCGTACATCTTGGAAAATGTCATAGGTATGATACAAGATTTTTGCTATTTGGATAAAAAAAAACAACGTATCGCATGTGCGTGATATTTTATTTCACTGAACTTGCTTGAACAAGAATTTTGCGCTGTTCAATGATTGCAAAGTTTGGATTGAACTATGTGACTAATGTGCTTCATTTATAATGACCTAAGTACATACTTACATGTACTAGCGTGTACATTTCGACCCATAACAATAATGAACAAACGTTCAATAATAATTTTGTATAAAAAGTATACCTAAAGCATTAATTTGTGGCTTATGTAAATGAATAAACTGTAGTAATTAGTATCCAGTCACAGCTTAAACATAAGCTATGTAGAGTGACATCTACATAATCGTTGCCCATGTTACAGCTAACGGTTGCGATCAATTATAAAATAGGCTGAAAGCCGAACAAATTATCATCTTAGTATCTAGTTATTTACCTATTTCATCTTTGAGTAATAATATAAATTAAAACAAGCACTAATTCTAGAAGTTGTCCGCGATGAATGGAAAAATCATTATCTATTATTTTCAATATCAGCTTAAAATTCTATCATATACCGATTGGAAATATAGGTAAGTTATCATGACGAGAGCGCTTTCCTCACATAAACTATACAACGAGCTTCGTAAAACAATCTTCTACAACCATAGATCGAATCTACAACAAACCTAATCATATATTGCAGACTGGTAACAAACGCACATACTTATTTAGTATACATCTATGTGTCATCAAGTATGACTTGGTGACACGCAACATGCTAGAACAATATTTTGTTAATAACAAAACTTATTGTAATTTATTATTTATTATATAATGTGATATTAACGATTTGAAATCAGACAATTTAATAGGCGTTTTATCGTTTATCATAAATAAATAATTTAAGTAACTTAATCGTGTTATATGTATTCTGTAAACCATTCAGAGATGAAGTTGCAACAAAAGACGAATTATACCCAAAGTAAGAAAAAAGGTGTAATGTTATAAGTAGGGCTAAGGCAATACATAGTTGATATTGTAACATTTTATTGTCAAAGAAGTATGACTTGTAACGTATTTACAATTTAGCAAGGATTAGGTCGTACCTAAAACAGCAGGGAAACAGATTCAGAAGTCTAGGACATAATATAAAATGGCGATTTTATATTATACAAGGAGTGAGTAAATATAGTTTTGTGGTCCACAGAATACATAAATTCATACAAAGATAGCCAGCGTTTTAAAATTATAATGTGCGTTTAACTTTACAGCTTAACAATATAAAATTTCGATCACAGACAAAATTACATTATGATGCACGCGTCAAGTTTGCGCTTAATGTTGTTAAAATATAAAATACTTAAATTTATTATTATGATATTCTAGTTTATTATAATTGTGAGATTATTCAAAGGTGAAACAACCAGTTTTTTATGACTAAAATATTTCAAGGCAACAATTTTTAAATGATCAAGCG